GTGCTTGAGTGAGTGAGTGAGTGAGTGTGTCAGTGAGGTACCGTACAGTACCCACGAGGTCGTGCTGGAAGACAAGCCTGCTTTGGAGAGTGCTTTGTGCAGAATCCGTCTTCTGGCTCCTGAACCCAAAATCCGGCTCGGGCCCAAGCAAAACAGCAGCGCTGCTGTTCCCGACCCAGTGAAGCAGCCCACACCCCTCGTCATGGTGGCCCCTTCCTTGACCGCGAAGCTTCTTTCCGAGTTTGTTGGCACGTTCCTGCTCGTGCTGACGGTCGGATGCAATGTCTTGGGTGGCAATGCAACGTGGGGTGGCGTGTCAATCGCCTTTGTCCTCATGATTTCCATTTATGCAATGGGAGGCATCTCAGGGGCGAACTTCAACCCGGCTGTCTCTGTGACTTTGAGCATCTCAAAGTCAATGGGAGGGCCAGGCCTTGACTGGAAAACCGTCGGTCAATACTCGGCTGTCCAGACGATCGCTGGGATTTCAGCTGCAATCTGCTACAGCTTGCTCTACGGACGCAGCTTCAACTTAGCTCCATCGGAGGGATTTGGGTGGCTCAATGCCGGCCTGTGCGAGACACTTTACACCTTCGTGCTCACCTTCGTTGTCCTCAATGTGGCTGCAACCCGCAAGAATGCAACAGAGTGCAATGAGTACTATGGCATGGCCATTGGGTTGGTCATCGTGGCCGGAGCCTATGGTGCGGGAGCAGTGTCCGGCGGCTGCTTCAATCCAGCCGTCGCTCTCGCGATCGATGTGTCGAGTGCAGCTCGGGGATTTGGCTGGTGCGTGCCCTATGTCATCTTCGAGATTCTCGGGGCAGCAACCGCAGCTGCTCTTTTCAAGCTTGTGCGTCCTGAAGACTTCTTTGGTGAACGAACCGCCAAGGCAGAGCTCCTCTCGGAGTTTCTGGGTACATTCGTGCTCGTCTTGACCGTTGGCTTGAATGTGCTTGCCAAGTCCCCAGCCGGTGCACTCTCGATTGCAGCAGCCTTGACATCCATGATCTATGCTGTTGGTGACGTTTCCGGAGCGCATTTCAACCCAGCTGTGACCCTGGCAATCTTTGCATCGGGAAGAAGCTCGCAGCTCACCCCAGGGAAGGCCGGCATGTACGTGGCGGCTCAGATCTCTGGTGGAATTGCCGCTGCTGCCATGTACTCAGTCATCTATGTTGGACAGTCTTTCCCACTGGGCCCGGTCGCCGGCAGCACATGGTCCCAAGTCATCGTCGCAGAGACCGTCTTCACCTTCCTGCTGAGTTTCGTGGTTCTTTGTGTTGCTGTGTCCTCCCGCACGAAGTCTTCGCACATGTTCGGCCTCCTGATTGGCTCCTGCGTTACGGTGGGAGGTTTCGCCATCGGTGGAATTTCTGGCGGGTCGTTGAATCCGGCGGTCTCTGTGGGCATTGCATCTGCTAACCTTCTCAACGGTGGGCTCTTCTACACGGCCCTGATCTACTCTGCCCTGGAGCTCGCTGGAGGAGCCGTGGCCGCAGGAGTCTTCAGGATCACCCATGAAGTGGACATGGACTCGGCCGAGAAAGAGAAGCTGGTAGCATGAGACCATGTGGCAGCCAGTCGAAGATCGGGAAAAGCACTGCAGTCGGTGAGTTTCTCTCTCTCTCTCTCTCTCGGTTGTTGCTCTTCTGGTAATTTGAGGACCTGCCGAGATTTTTGGTGGTCTAGGAGTGAGTCGCTTCAATACTACATCTGCTTGCACAGAGCACGGTATGGGTGGGGAGTGAAAACTTGGAGCAGAGCAGCTGCGACCCCTGTGCGGGGCGGGGCCCTAGAGCCGCATGCCAGGCGGTGGTGACGTGGCACGACATGTCTCTGTCCGACCTCATCAAGACAGCACGCCGTTTGGGCCTCGAGTCATTCTACAACGAAACGGAGGCACGCCTGAGGGTTTAAAGCCGAGCCGATGGAGTCCGACAGGGGAGCAGTTGCCTCGCTGCAGAGCTCAGAGGTTTGTGTTGCCGGGGTTGTGGAGTTGGCTTTGAACTTGGGCCTTGATGTCTCGGATGTGCTGTGCACCTTTGTACAATGGGCTTTCTTCGAAGACAGGATTCCTGTCGGCTCAACGTGTGGTCTTTAGTTGACTTGCGATAAGACTTCCCTTCAAAGGGACCCGTTTTGTGCCGAATCCCACAGAGCCTGTTCCAAATCCGAGAGTCGAGGGTAAGTAGCGTCAAATTCTTTCCCAGCCCACCGACAGCCGCAGGAAACTCTCCTTCAGCGGATTCTGGCTGCTCAGATGCCGTCAGGGCAGAATGATAAGAGTAGAGTGGTCGCTGCTCTCCCAGCGAACTTGGTGCGGCCTGTTCGTCTTCTCTGCTTGCGCCATAGACATAACCTTGCCCAAGCCATCAGCCTCGACTGGCAGAGTCCGAGTCGACGTGATACTGTAACCGTAAGGTTTCAGCCAGGGTGTAAACCTCGGAGGAGATGCCAGGGTTTAGCCAAACTGTGAGAGTTCGAGGTACATTCTCGGAAGGACTGGTGTAGACTCGTGGACTTACCAGCCAAGGCTGTAATACGTTCGACCGGGAGTCCTACACCCCAGGTTATAGAAGCAAAAAACCTCCCCACGAACCCCCCGATGTCGCCTGGCAGCTGGCATCGTCCGAGTTTGAGAGGAGCCTGAAAGGCTTGACTTCGGACGTCCTTGGAGCTGAAGCATAGGGTTTCGGTCTGAAGTCGAGCTAAGGGTGGCAGCTGACTGCCAACTAGACAAAAAACAACCCTCATTGAAGCTTCCCCCAAACCCGATTTCCGCCGCAGTCCGAACCCAAAACGCTAAATGGCCCATCCCAGGCCAAGACTTGGGAGCCATGGCAAATCCCGGTCCAAAGCTTCACTCACCTCGAGGCCCGGAAGGGCATTCAGCCCAGAATTGTAATCGCAATGAGAACGCAGAGAGAGGGCATAGCGATGGCCTTTATGGGTGTGAAGAAGATGACGACACGCATCTTCGCGCTAGGTCCATAGCTTAAAGCCCCGGAGGGTGCAAAAGCACGCATCTATGCCGGCCGTGTCTCCGAATAAGAGATCGAGGCATAGCAGCAACCAAAGAGGTCTCTTAGTTGCCGTGGTGCTTGTGATCTTTGAATGCTGGCAAAACATGCAAACCAGAGTCTGGTTTGTCGCCAGGACATACCTCAGAAGGTTTGGCAGCATGATTGAACTCTGCGCAAAGCTTGGAAGATCCCAACCTGCAAGGTGGCTTTTGAGCTGCTGGAGTACTTTCAGAAGCTGGAGGCCAGAACACCTTGGCACCGAATGGTGCAAGGTGTTTTCAGGGGGATGTTCCCATTCCTTCGCCGGTGAGGCTGCTTCAGTGATTGCGGAACAGTGTTCCTCAGGGGCACAAGCTAGGAGGTCTGTGAAGAATGGCTGGATTCTTCTTCTTCCTTTGACCGCGAAGACAGGCTTTCAGTATCACAGTTGTTATGACCATGTTTGGTTTTCTTGTTGCGTGGCTGAGTCCTGTTTTTGTCGCACCGATTGCTTATCCGATCTTATCCGTGTTTATTGCACACTGCTCTTACTGCTAACTTTAGAGAAACTCTAGAGATAAAGTGCCCTGGTTGTATCTATGTTATGCTGACGCCTGTGCTTTCATTCATCCCGAAACCCCTTCACTGGGAGGAGCTTACGTGGGACGAGATCAACACCCTCGCCCGGAAGAGTGGGCTGCCAATCGATCCTGGGCTCGAAATTTGCTCCCGGGGCACGGATCTTGTAGTTATCGTAATCAGAGACTTATAAACTTCGTCCGGAGGAGCTGTGCAGCAAATTCGTGCTTTTCGACTTGCTGTTTTTGTTCCGATTCTTCTGGTGGAGGGAAGGAGCTTAAAGCCACCGGGTGTCCGGGACGGTTGCGGATTTTGGCTCCTGCTGTAGGACTTTCAGGTCCGGCCTTGCCGGCCCGACATCTCAAAGTTGAGACAGGCGGTTCAGACAACTTACGATCTGAGAGCCCGAGGCTGCAGAATTGTTTTCCAGCCTCTTGCCCTTGCGTGCACTTGCCTTTTTTCCACACAAGCGGTCCCAGGTGTCTCAACTTCTCCCGGCTGCGATATTATTATTGCGGTCGTTCTTCAACTTCGCCAGACAGCTGTTCAGGTGTCTGCAAGGGACCGTCGTATTATCCCCTATCATTACCTGTGAATCCAAAAACCTGCCGTGTTAAGGGTTAGACCCTATGATGTAGGGGTCATAACCTACTATTTTGTAGGGTTTGGGGGTACAGGTAAGGCCTTAAGGCCTCCCTTTGCGCAGCTTCGTCGGGTGATCTCAGGAGCCAGGCGTGCGGCGGGAGACTCTGCTGCAGCGCCTGAAGCTCTTGGCTATTTGGGCTGCTGGTCTGCAGATGGGGGCATTAGGGTTTAGGGTTTAGAGTTTAGGGTTTGGGGTTCAGAGGGCACTGTGAAGCACGTCCGGCTAAACGAAACACTGGGACATGCAGGCTGGAGGCTTTCGTAGCGGCTGGACTTCAGTGTTTGGTACTGTCATGTCCTGTCGTGGTTTACGTCAGTCTATCTGAACACTTCCACTAAAGTTCCCAACTTAATAAAGCACGTCCCATGGAAGAAGTATGTCGTCAATTCATGTCAAGAAAGAAGATGCCGGGAGTCGTGATTGGAAAGCGGCTCACCATTGGTTCTATGTCCAGCGCTGTTTGCTCATCCTTGCCTCTAGCAGCGTCCGATCACAACCCGTGAGCCTCATCAGGTAGCCAAAATTTGCTCCATAGGCCCAAACCTCAACGTAAAGCTGATTTGCCGTAGCAGCTCCCCTACCGGTGTCCCTGAAACTGCACAGCTTCCCAGGAGCAACTGCCCACTCCTGAGCTGGAAGCAGAGTGCTGGAGGCTGGTCGGCTGCGGTTCTGGTTGCTCAGATGACTGGGGCTTCATACTATGTGGGTTAGAGTTCGCTTAGGAGGGGCAGCAACCAGCATGTAGCCAAGAAAACTGAACGAATGCTCTGCAAGGCCCTAGACATCCTCAGAGACCTCAGTGCTGCTCCCACCCCGGAGCGTCGACAAAGATAAATGCACTGGCCTTGAAGAGGCGTCTGCAGTTCTTCGACTCCTGCTACTCCGACTTTATCTCAGGCCCCTTCCAGGGTTTGAAAACGAAGTCATCATGTGTCCAGGCGACAGCCATTAGTGGTTGCAGATGAAGGTGGCGTGCATCCTGTCTGTAGCTTCCAGTTTCAGCTTATAGTGTTCTCCGGGCTGTTGTGGTTGTGCTGTCCCCCTGATTTGACAGCAGTTCCTGGTCTGAGTCCGCTTTTGAGAGTGTTGGACCTTTGGAAGGCCACTCGGGCATGTTCTCCTTCGTGGACCTCATGGCCTCAGATCGACAGTATCGCCAAGAATTGCTCGGGCAACTGGTGAAGGAGAAGCTGTTGCACAGTCCGTCTTGTCCTTTTGTGGTCTTCCTGCTTCCTGCTTTCTGCATGATCTTCATGCCGCGCTCGCGCACCGACCACATTGGTCGCACTCGCTTGGTTATCTTTGTCCCACCGGTGGCTTCTTGCTGAGATCCTCGATGCACAAGTATCCAGAGCGTGTATTCAGACAAAGCAGACAAACGGCCATGATCCCGTCACTTGAAGTACCACTGCATCGACGCACTCCGGACGCTGGCCCTAGCGCCTTCACACCCGCTGATACTATACTGCGGTGCACTCCCGACCCCCTGTTCCTTGCTGCGGGCACGTCCAGGACCTGCATGGTTGCAGGCCCGATTATGACATCAGCGGGTCCAGAATGCTAGCCCGACAATGTCCCTTTGATCCCAGACCCGACAAAGGTTGTTATTGTCCTTTGTCAGTTGCCGGCATTCTTAGCGTTGTTTCGGTTGTAGACTTCCGCGCACTTCACCAGCACGATGTCTGTTCTATGGGTGACATCGGCCGTGATGAGACTACTGCACGACTGAAGGTAAGGGTAAATGTTTGCATCCGCGTGTCCTAACAAAAGACGATAATGAGCACGAGGGTAACGAAGATGCTTCAGCGAGACATGAGTGCAGGAGATGCACCACGAAGCCCTGGCTTTGATGGTTCAGAAGCAGTGTGAGGCCGGAGCAGCAAGGGAGAATAAAGGGGTCGCTTTGGGGTCGTGGATAGTAGGGATCCAGATGCGGAGCTTCCTCTTGACCCCCCCTTGTGGAACCCCAAGCTTCATAAGCCAAAGTTAAAGAAAGCTGCGTCCTGTTACACCATGCCGCTGTTCCGCCTCTTCACATGCTTGAACTCTTGATGCTTCAGTCACACGCCGGGCATGGGGGCCAGCTCTTTCACTCTTGTTGACCTCGGCGTGAAACCGCAGCACATCGCAACCTTTCGCAACGCGCCGAAAATGAGCTGGACGGCGACGTTGTAAACCCTGCATCCCTGAAAGGACGATGGGCTTCGGGATCTGGGCTCTCGACTTTCGGTGTCAGGCTGTGTAGGGCTTCCGGAGCCAAACTCTAATCCTTTAGCAACCCTGCCTAAATCGAAGCCTTCAACCCTGTGCAAACAATGACAAAAAACCAACCCGTGAACCCCTAATTTGAAACCCGCAACCTGAGCCGTTCTAAAGCCCTCTTCAGCCGTTTTCCCCTCCATAAGACCTTTGTTAGCCCGAATATGTTGCGAGGTGCGAAAGTCGAAATCCTATAAATAAGCGAGTTCACATCCAGTCCCTCTTGAGGCCGACGAGAGCGGCGCAGACGACGAGTTTGCGATGAGCGGCCAGGAGTCTGCACCGCGAAGGGCATGTCAAACACTATATGACTATACCTATGCATCTACACATCTATATCTCTGTATCTCATGTAATTATGCCTGTATCTCTATATATCTCTGCTTTTCTATATGCTCATACTTGTTCTGTCTCTGTGTGTGTGTGTGTGTCTCTGTGTGTGTATTGATATAAGCATGTTGTATAAGGCGTGTGTGTGACAAGGGTGCAATAAATTAGGGTTGAGAGCAGAGGGAGCTTTCGGGCGACGATGCAAGCCCGCTGCAAAAGGGCTGCAGCAATGAGCCCGGAGGCAACAAAGTGTTCGATATAGAAGAAAGGTTGAAACATAACAATACTTTACGGTTCCTTGTCATCGCTCAGATATAGTATGCAGTAGTGTGGACGGTGTTGGGGCTCAGACTCTTGACGGCCGTCGAGATGTCTTGGGTTCAGATGTCTAGGTGCTTAGGGCTTTGGGATGCGACGGGGTTCAGAATTGCGGCTAACTCAAGTACAGCACGATTCAAGTCTGAACTTGGACTGTCTGAAGGTGCGGGTGTGCCTTGGCTTTTCGGGGCAAGGCATACCCGTCACGTGATGCAGCACGGGTTTTGAAAAACCGGCTTGCTTCCGAGTGCCACTTCTCAGCCACACAGGATTTCGACGAAGACGAACCCTTCGTCTGCCTGAAGTGTGGGATGCAGCTGGGCTCCGGAAAGTGCAAGCGAAGTCTTGGGATCTACGGCGTTGCAAGTTTCCGGTTTTCGCAGGATGAACAACAAACCGCTGACCATGGCCAATCTGACGTGGGACTGTTCCGCACATTGCTCGTCCATGCGTCCTTCTGACTGATGCAAAGCAGTACAAAATGCAATGGCATGACAAAGCCGATCTGGCCCAATTTGCACAATTTTTTTTCAAGCTTCCACTCCGGACCTTGCACAGCAATTTGTACTGTCCTCGATTTACCATCCAATTCGGCACCTCAGGTGGGCGCGGCCCAAGGGGGAGCCGGCCTGGGTTGACGGACACAGGCCCAGAACCAGCTTGCTTCTTGTGATGTTGCAAACCCCGGGTCGATGCATCCGCCTCCAGGCCATGTCACAACACCGCCATGAGCAACAAAGGTATGTGCGATGTCAGTATCGCGTGAAGTGCTGTGTCGACAACGCGGCAGAGAACTCGACGGCGGTTGTTTGTTTCCAGCAGTCAGTGTGTCTGTTGGCGTTGTGAGCACCGTTGTGTTTTGTCTTGGAAGGAGCGGCACTGCTATCTTGTTCTCATCGTCGACGTCGTTCGTCGTAATTAGTGAGAACAACAGCAGCACGAACAGCAGCAGGAATGGCATCATGACTTGTGACTTGTGACAGGCTGTTACAGATGACTTTCGTTAATCTCATGTCTGTGAGCGTCTATGTGTATGTACCGGGTGGATTTACCTGGTGATGGTCGGTGGCGCTAGTTTGCTGATTGTTCTGCATATTCCTGGATCCAGTAGTCTCTGAGGTCGGCAACTGCACGCAATGGATAAGGGCTCACATCCAGATGGAGTTCTTTCGCTTCGAAATACAAGAGCCCTGCACACGGAGCAATCTGTCGCAATTCTGAAAACCTGACTCATCTCTCCTCCGGCAGATGCTGCGATGACTGCGCTCTGCGGATCTACTACGAGGAACAAGCAAAGGTGGGGATCGTGGAGCATATATGTGGGGGTGATGTGTCATTGACCGTGGGCTTCGCATTGTCTTGCCATGGCAGATCGCGCATCTGCTGAGTCTCATGTTCGTCAGACAGACCTCGGTAGGCGGCAAACCGACGCCCGAATCCTACAAGGCGAAGCCCCCACTATGATGCCCTGAAGCACGAAAAGCCGGTATCGCTGTCAGCTTATTTAGCCAACGGTTGTAGTTACCACTGCAAATAGCGCGACAGCATCTATAACTTGTGTCAGCAAGGAATATTCTGTCGTCAGTGTAGTGCCACTGTCAGACTGTAACTACATCCGCCACCACCCGGCATGTAGCCTTCGCCCAGCTCATGCGGCAATCCCTCCCAACGTCATCGCCTAGGCCCTGCAAAGGGTGTCGGACGAGGAAGAGGCAGAGGTGTACCTCTTCGGCAAGTGCTCGAGGGGACAGGGCTGACAGTCTCGGGGTATAAGTCCTTGCGCGACATGTTTTGCTCTGGTGCGGGTTTGAGGATCGTCGTAGTTTCAGGACTTGGTCTCAATGAAGAGATGTTTCGGGATGTCCTGCAGCATTCATGATGATGATGATGGCGATGATGGTGAGGGGCTTTCTGACTCGTAACGCTGGAACTGAAATCCGAAGCTATAGACCCCAAGCCTGAAATGCCCAAGCTCGCCCGAACCCGAGGTTGCTATCACTGGTGATGAACGACCCGGCTCTTGACAACTTGTAAGTTCATGGCCACCTATATTTGGGGTGCGACGATGATATAAGATAAGTAGCTGCCATTCAGACTTGCAATCACCCCCAGTAAGTTGTATGTCAGTATGTATGACCTACTTGCATGTTCTGTTGAGCCCTCAAAGTACACGCATATACCCAATCGCTACAGTCCTCTGCTCAGAACTCCCAGCTGGTCAAACATTCCGAGTGTGAGAGTGCGAGGCCTAAGCCCCAAAGTCTTAATATAGACTTTAGCCATACTACCTCTTTCAACTTTATAGTCCTTGTATGACCATACCAAAAATATCACAAAACCGTCGTCTGATTATCAAGGCCCTAGCTTAAACCCTATAAAACTCGTATAATAACCTTGAAAGTCTTGTAAAACCTTTTCTAATGGTTGAGGCCGAGGCCCCTATATTACATGCCCATTCGCCACCAAATTCAAAGAGCCGAGGCTCGAATTCCTACGTAAGTGGCGCATGCCCGAGCCCGGGTCTCGGTGGCCAGGCTTCCCTGCTTGGGGTTTCGAGAAAAAACTGAGAGAGGTGTAGGGTTTTGGTTTATCGAAAACACGGGTCAGGGTATTCTGTTTGCCGGATGAAATGCCATGTGCATGGTTTATTGCTAGTGCTGTCTTATGTACACCATGTGTCGGCACGCACACAATCCCGGATGTTTGCAAAACGGTCTAACAGCAAAAAGTGGCACTTGTGGTTCGCGGGCGTGGAGCTTAAACAGTTTAGGCTTTAGAGGTACTGGGAAGTGTGCTGAGGTGGGCACAAGATACTACACATTGTCTGTGCCCATTTTTGTCTTCCAGGGCCCGTTTTTGTTGCCAGGTCCGGTTTTGTTGCCAGGTCCGATGGAATTTGGGTCTTCGCACAACCGCCGTTCAGCTTCACATGTATATGTAGGTGCTAGAGCTCCAGATGCCACATGCCATCACCGAACTAAAGACGCTTCATGATAGTCCTCATCAAGCCAGTCCTTGGCATCTTTGTTTATTGGCCGTCATCAGTCGCCGCATGACGACTGCCAATAGCCACTGCTCTTCGTCTGACTCGAGCTGCCAATTACATGCTCACACTGTCAGCTCCTGCCAGCATTCCACCTTCCTTCTCGCATGCTGATTGAACTCAAAAGCGCAAAAGTGATTCGTAAAGTCCTAACTGCCATCTAGTGCTGTGCTCAGAATCAGCAGCCCCATTATTCGTAACGCGGCAAGTATCCAAACGACTCAACAAGAAGTCGTCGTTTAAAGGTTTAGTTACGCATTAGTTGCGAGTCAACTCAACGGCCCCAAGTTCAGCTCAAGGTGTGGACACGGAGGCGTGTCAGAACCGGCACCGGAACCGGCACCACGGGTATCGGAGGACTGACCAGGATGAAGCCACAACGACATGATGAAGCAAGCGAGACAACTCTTGACAGAGCTAATTATGAATGGTTGCCTTAGAGCCTTAGAGTTCTGAGATGCATGCCCACCTGTGCTTCTGCACTCTGGATCGTTGTTCTGTAAGTCGATATTCGAAAAAAACAGAAAAAAGGGTATGGACAGGCATAATGCCGAGCTACCCTCATGCTCTCTCATCCATGCACACACGAGGACCCACCGGCCAACCATAGAGAGAGAGAGAGAGAGAGAGAGAGTGAGAGAGATTTTCTTTATACATGTACACACGTCTGCGTGTAAGTATGTGTGCGTGTTCACCTCCTTTCTTTCCTTCTTTACATAATTCTTGCGTGTTTATAAAAGGTTCAATAAGGCAGTAGTTATTAATTTATAAACACGCACGAGCACAGGTGCAGGCATGTGTGTAACTACATATGTGCATGTACTGTACATTTCTACATTTCTTTTAGGTCTTCGTTTATAGTCCTTATGTTGTGTGGTGATTACACTATGCAATACTAGTGACGCGTGGTCTGAGTGGGCTTGAAGATAACCACCAAGGCCACAAACCATTCATTTCGAAGACTTTTTCCTCCAACCTGCACCCCCCTCCACGATCGACCAAGCCTGGGGCCTGGTATTGTACAGTAGTACAGTAATAGTACAGGAGTAGTACAATAGTACAGTAGAACGGAAATACGGCAAGACCCCCGCTGGCAAAACAACGCGTCAAAGAGTTTGCTCAAAAGTTTGCAACAAATCTTGAAGCAAGAAGACCGACTATAGACTCCCACTGGACTAAAGCCGCCATCAGACCACTACTACCACTGCTACCAATACTACTACTACTACTACTACTACTACTCCTGCAGCTGCTGCTGCTGCTGCTGCTGCTGCTACTGCTGCTACTACTACTCCTGCTGCTGCTGCTGCTGCTGCTGATGCTACTACTACTACTACTACGACTACTACTACTGCTGCTGCTACTACTACTACTACTACTACTACTGCTACTACTACTACTACTACTAGTACAACAACAACAACTACTACTACTACTACTACTACTACT